CCTTCGGATCAGACCTTAAAAACCGAAGCCCCGTGTCACGGCAGGCGTTGGCACGATAAAGATCCCTCACTGCTCAATGGCCCTGAGCCTGAGTGCCGAGTAAAGGTCAAAATTTTGAGCTCTTCACCGGTATATGGTGACGTCTCTATATGAGTGAAAAATTCTCGAATGGGACGTTAAACAACATACAATCAATCAATCAAGCAAGCAAGCAACTTTTTTGACCTTGACCTTTCGTTTGACCTTGACCTCACTTTTTATAAATTTGTGTTTAATTTAGTTTGTAAGAAAACATTCATAATATTTTTTAAATTTTTATCAAACTTCATATGCTTATACATACTGTTGTAAGCTTTTCAACTGCATCAACATTTTTTTAGCTTTCCTTTGACCTTAACTTCATTCATTTTAAATTAGTGTTTAGCTCAGCTTTAAATAAACCATTCAAAATATTTATATCAAACTTAATATGTTGATACGTATATGTGAGAACTATTCAGCTGCATCAAAAGTGTTTGACCTTGAACTTTCCTGTGACCTTAACCTCACTTTTCTTAAATTTGCATTTTGCTTAGTTTAAAAAAAAACATTTAAGAAATATTTATGTAAGCTTATGCACTTATACATAATTTGGTGTGAATTTATATTCTATAACCAACTTTTTAGATTTCAATTTTAAAGAAACTATTCACGATATTCTCATCAAATTTCATAACTAATACAAATTTTCATGTTGCATTACTAATATTTCCATTTCTATTTGTTTTCTATGTGATAACTCTTGAAAGTTAGGAGAGTTGATTTCTTGATCATTCTAACGGAATGCAAATTTTGCCAAGCGAAAGGTCAGTAGCTAAGAAGGCATATATGCATGTAATTCTCGTGCGACTGTCTTTGTGTCTTACTCTAAGGAAGCCCAATATGCATGTAATTCTCGTGCGTCTGTCTTTGTGTTTGACGTCAGTGGGCGGGGACTATTGAAATTGACATGTGAGGCCTCGTGTCATTTTTAAAATCTAAATTTACAATTTTATTTCAAAATGAAATGGAAATATAAGGAATCACTGTCTAGTTAGTAGAGTATGCCAGGGCATCAACGATAGTTGGAAACGTGGGATAATTTATGCATAACGGGCTTCGCCCGTTATGCATAAATTATCCCACGTTTCCAACTATCGTTGATGCCCTGGCATACTCTACTAACTAGACAGTGATTCCTTAAATATACCCTCGGCGGGGCATTCATGTCCTATGGACATATTTCTAGTTTTTCTCAGTAATTATCAAAATCCAAATATTATGCACATAGATTCTCATATATGTACAATTGATCTGCATAATATTAAAAAAGTCCTATCTTGAAAGCTGTAGGAGGATTTATTCGGTCAAATGATGTACCATTTTGGCAGTCGCCCACTCTTTTTCTTCATTTCAAAAATCTTATTTTTCCTACGCAAAACCCGGCTAATTGATAATAAAGTAAAGAATTTTACTGAATGACCCCCCCCCCCCCCAAAAAAAAAAAACCGAAAAACACACACACAAATACATATCCACTTTATTTCTTCTGATAATTGAATTTTAAATCTTGCTGACAATGAGAAGACGTAATCTTAACCTCTTGATCGTAGATGGATTGATTGTTAGTTGCTTTATATCCCTTTCGAGATTTTTTCTCTCATATGAGACGTCACCATGTACCCGTGAAGGGCTTCAAAAGACCTCTCCATCTCTCATGCATTGCCATTCAATAGTGAGGGTTTTTTATTGCGAGACCTCGGTTTTTAAGGCCCCGTGACTTCTATTACCGGGCGCTTGGCGAAGAATGGTCACCACTTTTGTTTAGATCGTGTTAGGTTTGTTAGGTTAGTAAATAAAAATAATTACAAGTTGTAAGTTGTTATATTGTAATTTTAGCCCACCTGAGCTGAAGGCTCAAGTGAGCTTTTCTAATCAAAATTTGTATGTTGTCTGTCCTCGTTGCCTTTGCCATCATTTTTGTATTCGTTAACTTTTCTTGCTGCAATCCACGATTGTCATACACTGTGTCCTCCCTCTTTCTATACTGTGCGAGAAAGGATGGGACGGATTAGTGAAGAAGTTATCAGAAGGTGGAAATCTATTGGACATACTGGATTCTTAAACTTTTTTCAAGTCAAAAAAAAATAATAATAATAATTATCTTTTGTCATTTTTTTTTTTTTTTTTTTGGTGAACCTGCATTTTTAGAACATTACTGACAAACTTCAGTACCAAATTCATTTCAAGACCACTACAATCATTTCATTACTCGACAAACTGTGAGAAAAAAAAAATTGCAGCTTTGGAAACAAATCATAATTGCATTCTTAGTTATAATGGCTTGAGTAAAGGTGTACATTTTACATCTTTGTTCCCCATATACCCATTTCGCTATCATTCCATGTTTTAGGTATTCAAGCAGGATAAAGATAATTTAATTTTACAATTTTTAGCTAACCTCAACAAAATTGGGGGAGCTTATATACATGTAATACCTTTGTCGTCATCGTCATAGTTTGGGAAAATTTACTGTATAGTAAAATTTTTGGGAGGAAAGTTTGCTACATAGCAATGATTCCGAGATGGGCTTTATTATATAGTAAAATTTGCGGAAATAATTCGATTGATCTAACAACAAGTAATCAAGCTCCTTTGCAGAGCAATGGCACCACTTCTAAACACAAACAGGCAAAAAGTAAGATCTCAATGTCTGGTATGTTCTAACAGTCGTAAAGCATACTAGTAGTAGCTAGTTACTATAATGCTAAAAAAAAAATCTGCAAATCGGTAACAGCATTTGTACAAAAAAATTTGAAAGAGCGTTGAACAGAAGTCCTGCCAGTCTGCAATGAATTTTGTTGCTACCTGATGTTTGCTGCCAAGAAATAAAGGAATTTTTTCCTGATGTTCTTTTGACATGTCTTTCTTGTAAATTATCATATGGGGGGGGGGGTAATTTTGGGGGCTTTAACTTCTATAGCTGTATATAAATTAAAGTCAACCAGACATATTGTAGTGCACAGGGTATCCCCTGGCCCGACTATAGAAAAAAAGTAGTAGCTTAATTTGGAAATAAAAAAAAAAATTGCAAATTTTTGGCCAAGAATGTCTTTGAAAGACAGGTAAGACAAAAAAATAGGATTAAATCTTTCCTTTCCAGTTCAATGAATTTACGTCTCCCGCCTAAGGATAGAGGTTTTTGAGATATTAGCCAGAAACCGTATGTTTATTTGAGATATTAGCCAGAAATAATATGTTAAAAAAATTGTAAACTCGTAAATTTACTTACCTTGTCATTGATCAATTGCAAAATTACTTTGTTAAAAAAAACAATCTGATTGTACATGCAAGTACTCTGAAGTTGACATTAAAAGGATGCTCGAGTTTCTGATTGACAAAATCTATGTGGTTTTTGGAGACCAGGTCTTCCAACAATCTATTGGAATTCCCATGGGTACCAATTGCGGCCCATTATTAGCAGACCTATGTTTGTATTCATATGAAGCAGAATTTGTTCAAAATCTTATACATGAAAAAAAAAAAAGAAAAGAAAAGAAAACACTAGCTGTGACCTTCAACTCGACATTTAGATATATCGACGACATATTGGTTACTTCCATTCGTATGTCGACACGATATATCTCGGTGAGCTTGAGATAAAAGATACCACAGAGTCTGACACATCCCTGTGATATTTGGATATTTTTTTTAAGAAAAAGGCGTTAATGGTAATCGACCAACAAAGCTTTATGATAAACGTGATGACTTTAACTTTTCAATCGTCAACTTCCCTAGCTTACTAATGCAGCAATATACCCTTATCACCTGCATACGGGGTTTATATCTCTCAGTTGATTCGATACGCCAGAGAATGCTCTACGTATGAACAATTTCTAAAACGAGGTAAGTTACTGACAAAAAAGTTGATGAAACAAGAATATCAGCAGTCTCGTTTAAAGTCATCATTTCGTAAGTTCTATAGTCGATACAATGACCTTGTCAGCAAATATATCTATCATTAAGTCAAATGCTGACTGACTTTTTTCATACTAATTGTTGACCCATTATTTACACACTGAATTGTCGACGGATTTTTCCGTTATTTCCCGATTATGACAAGGAGCACACGGCGGGTGTGACCGGTCGGTAGGGGATGCTCACTCCTCCATGGCACCTGATCCCACCTCTGATGTCATAGAGGTCCGTCTTTGCTCTGCTCTAATTTTGTAATGTTTAATGGACTTTTGAGCTCGAATATTGTTCTTTATCTCCACATATTCATTATATGTATTTGTAATTAACTTATCTTTTTTTATCTTTGACCCTAAAGTCAACTGGAGTCTTCTTCAAGTCATAGCTAGGGAGTTATGATATAAAATCTTATTGCAAAAGATAAAGGACTTTAAGGGATATATCTTCCGGAAACAAAAGTATTATAGACAGAAAGAAGGACGAACAGGTAGACAGAGTGACAGATAGAAGAGCAGACAGACTCAAGTTAGATCCCTGTTTTAGGGAAAACGAGGGACAATTGATTATAATGCATCCTGGCAGAGAAATATATACATACTATAAGACAATTAAAATACTTTTAAAATCCTTGTATATATATTGGTATAAACTATTGCATATATTTGTTCAGCGAATTGCTTAAGTGGATAAAAGATTTACATTTATGGACACGTTTATGGATTTATCATTACAATAAAGTTTGATTGTGCATGGTAGGCAATCTGTGTTAGTGTATCAGAAATCTTACCAAGGCTAAATATTGACACATCGACTTTAAAGGAACATTTAATAAAATTGATTCCACTATTACTTCTTATGTAATTTTCTGTGACATATATAAGCGTTTTAAGTGTGTCTTTGGCGTGTCCTATAAGTAGGAATATGTTTAGTAATCTCGATTAAAGTAACCACTGATCTGCCTCTTCTTCATACAAACACCCCCATTTCTTTGAGTATTGGAATCGCCCGTTCTCAAAATTCGCACAATTATATGCGCGTGAATCGCTCTTAGCAGAGAGTTTTCATATTCAGCAATTAATAATGCATGTTCGAGAACAGATGCGCGTGCAGGATGATGCGCTGGGACCACCTGTTTTCACACGTGCGTGTATCCTCTCAGGGTTGTAAATAATTTGACTCCCGTGGAATTTGTTTAAAATACGCCTATAGAACAGGTAAGTCCGTCTAAGGACGTGGTGCTTTAAATGTTACATTTTTTTTTATATAGAAAGATGATACCTTGTGTTTATGCATCATTCAGTTTTTTGCTGTACTATCTCCCTTACACATGTGTGTCTCTGGTCACTGTAGCTATTTATCATTTTGACAGAGGCTGAAAGGTCGAGGTGAAAGATATTTTTTTTTCTCTGGGCAATCGTGAGGTACTTAATACTTCACAGTAAATGTTGCGGCTCTTCACGCCGTGGAATATTTTCCCTCAGCATAGTAAAACGATGACATCAATTTTTACATACATTATTCATAGTTAATCAATTCCTATACCTAAAAGACGCGCGCACTGCTTTAACCTAGAGCCGGGGAGTGTCATAAATTAAGATACTTATACACTGAAGGGCTACTGGCGGTTCACATTCATTAACATGTAAATGTGTTTAATCATGAATGCAATAGAATTTGATCTGTATCAAGGGGTAATTTAACGTGTGTATTCATTAAACAGGACGTTTATAACTTCTAGAGACATGTTCTGCTACAGTTCATGTAAGTAAAGTGTGTTCTACTAACAAACACAGGAAGTTTTATTTTAAAGCTTTGATCAGTAGCCATTGGGCTGTGTGAAGGATGAGAAAAAATTTAATTATCCCTCCATTTATTTTCTGGCTCATTAAGGACTTGTAAGACGAGGTAGGGTTTTTGATAGATTAAGGGTTGCAGTATAACTCTGACGGATTAAGTTTTGCTTGTTCATGTTGTTTGAAGGACGAAATCAGGACATTTTGAAGACTCTGATTTCATACTGCGCTTTATAAAAGATTTCTACATACACTCGTCATGCGGTCGACTGTATACGTTTAATTTTTGATTTGTGACGTGCAGTCAATCCAGCAGCTCTTGTAAAAATGATTTTAAGAACTGGTTTTATCTGAAAATGCAGATATAATCGTCAAATAACATCGTAGGAATATATACATGTTTAAATTAAATAATCGCCATCTGGGAATGTAACAGCTAGGAGAGGGGAAGGTGTGGTGATTTTATTGAAGGGGGGGGGGGGTATACTAACATGTATTTAGTTAGTTTAGGTGACCTTGACTTGATGTCGTGATTTTGCCTTTTGCATATAAATTTAGGAAGTAGCACGTTTAGATAAATAAAAGTAGCGTTCAAATACCACATGTAATTTGAATTAAAAAATCAAAAACTGACACAATATCAAAGTTGTGGAAATATCCCCCTTAGACATGTTAGAGCTGAATAAATGTGTCTTAATTTTTTCCTCTACGGCATTGCTATGTTTTGATGTATTTATAGAGTTTAACAAATTGACAACGAACAATGTACAAACCGTTATCCTTGCTATTCAGTAAGAATTCATTATTACTTTCAAAACAACAGATTTATAACGAACATCCGTATCCTTATCGTCGCTATTCAGTAAGAACTCTATATTGTTTACAATACAACCCATTTATAACGAACACCCAAATACGAGTATCATTATCTGCTATTCAAAAAGATTATTTACAGTCCAGCCCATTTTAAACGAACATCCAAAAACTATTATTTTCACTTTTTCATAAGAAATCATATTATTAAGAGTAATTTGTTTAATTTAAACCCCAGAACATTATTTTAATTCAACTCCCTATAAGAGTTAGTTATCTGTGTCTTCGTTTACACAACAAGGTAGGCGCATATCATGCGTGCCGTTGTACAATTGTCTAAATATCTATATCAACGATTACGGTGTTTTGGACTACGTACGTTTTTCTTTAAATCATTTTCTTTACAAACACCGTTTGGTCATATTGGTAACTAAAAAACTTAATACGTAAATATCTTTTTCAGCAAAATATACAAAATTATTCATAAGAATTAAAAGAAATTAAACTTGAAGATGCACTACGAATATAAATTATTCAAAAATATTGCGAATGGCTTTCCAGTTAAGCCCAGAGAACAGTAAAAACATGATGGGTAAATGAGAAAATACAAATACTGTTTTGGCAGAAAGACTGTAAGAGACGGGGGGACGCCGGATTATCATACCCTAAGTATGATCCAAACACAGCGGGGAGGGGCGCGCACCATCTGCCGCGGTTGTTGTGATAATGAGTAATAGTGGAGGCTGTCGACCAAGTAACGTGTTATCAAAGTTGTAACGGTAATCACAGTTATCTCCACAGCTGTCTGTGATGTAGAGCCTGATTCAGAGTCAGGATCTCAGCGAATCTCTCTCTCCCCATCTCTCTCTCTCTCTTTCTCTCATTCCCTGACTCTACATTGTATTACTCTCTCTCTCTCTCTCTCTCTCTCTCTCTCTCTCTCTCTCTCTCTCTCTCTCTCTGAAACTTGAAAAGATGAAGATATGCAAACAAAATTCAGTTCGATATTCATGAAATTGTGGAAAGATTTTAATGTATCACGCATGTATGCATTACACTAAGAAAAGAATTTGCATGCAGGAATGGAAGTCAACATTTACATTGATGATTCTGATTTCAGGAAAATTGACCAGAGATTCAAAATGAAACAAATATTGCTAAAACATGTAAAATAGAGTGTGACTCAATTCAAAACACGCTTCCTTTGAAAGCATTTACATAGACTATGGAATGCATTGGTATAGATTTACATAGATATTGTCATGTACACGTACACATTTTGATTTTTTTTTCTTTTGGCAAGTATCAAATTCTAGATTTAGTGAACGACGATACATTTGGAGTTCATAAGAAAAATTAACGACTTTTTCTTAGATCCGCTCCATATTAAACAAATACTTCATAAGAAGCACCGTTGCTGATGATAATAGAAAGATCAAGACACGTTATCCGTGGGTATCCGTGTTATCGAATTCGTTAGAGGAAATCTTAGGGCAGGCGAGGTTCCTTAACCCCTGACAGGAACTTTTCACGGGGTGATAGCAACTGAGTTAATGATAGATTTTTTAATCACAATAAAGGCTTTCTAAATTAAACAATTATGTCTGGAATGCGTGTATATATATACTATAGCTTATAGTGAAACTGTCGTATTTATCATTACCTGGGCCTAGTCGACCTTATCATGTTTATTCGCGAAAAGAATCTAAGGAGTACAATAATGCAACATTTCTCTAATAATGTCGGAATATGTATTTTAACCGTTGCAAAGAAGAAAAATACCACATAGCATTTTTTTTTTCTATTTGTCACCCCCCTCCCCCACCCACTAACACACAAACGCGTACGCGCGCATACAAACAGACAGATTGTTAGGACACCAGATTCTCGAGCCCGATCAGAAAGTCGATTGTTTGGTCAAAGATCGACCTACAGCACAGAAAACCGATTTAGTGAACGGTTTGCATAATCCGCGTATCATTAGATAAGCCGATTTAGACCACTTGATGTCAGACAGCGGTTTATTTGACATTGGGCGGTGAATTATAATATAATGGTTTTATAATACAAAGGTACATTTCTTTAAGAATCGGAATTAAAAGGCGATCAAAGTAAAAGCGGATTAAAATACGGCGTGAAAATTCTGCAGGGCGCCTCGTATACTGATCCTTAGAATTCCTGGGTATAATTCTAAACTTAACATGTACGTTCATTTCGTTAAAATCTAGAATATGATATGATAAACAAATAAAATATCATAAATAAAACACAATCGTATGCCTGGTTATTATTTAGAATCATGCATAATAGAGATGTTCCCCCCTTTTTATGAAAAGTTTACCTTAATTTAACGAGGTTCGCTCCTGAGCTTTTGAGCAAATTTTTATCTTAACCTATATTTCAAAAATTCTGCATAATGTTTTAATTCTTACAATAAATTTGGATTCTACAATGCCAATTTAACTATATTCAGTTAAAACTCCATGATTAAATTCCATACTAAAAGCATTAAGTGAGGAACAATATTTTGTGGCGGAAGGTTTTTTTTTTAGAAGAAAATGATCATTTTTTCTCTTTGGAAGTATTTAAAGTATACTAAGTTTGGATTCCTATTTTTACATGCAGTCTGCACACATAGTTATTTTGTGCAGTGGACTGTTTTATATTGGTCCTAAATTATCTATTAAATAAACTGTCATGAATTCTATCATCATATCTGATAAATATAGCAAATATATCGTGAACATGAAGAAAAAATAGCTCTAATTTAAGCTTAAAATTAGCACTGTTTTAGTAATATCTAAAAATTATCATCACAGACCCCCACTTTGGATTTTCGTTTCTGAATATATACGATACCTTTAACCATTCTTCTTAAATTCAGTAAAATGTCATTACTTTCAAATGATTTTTTTGCTTGTTAAATTTTTAATGCCAGAAAAAGGAAAATGTTTGAGTGCAAAAAGGTCAAATAATTGAACATGCGGAGTAATTTGAAAATTTCTTCATTGTCACAAATTTTAATGTGTCTATTTAAGATGAAATAAGACTGTTTTTGTCCCCATTATTTATTTGAACAAAAATTATTGGAGTAGAAACTTTAAAAATTGATTTATATGTAAGACGTACTTACAGTGCAAAAAGGTCAAACTAAATGCTCTGTAGCGCCAAAAGAAGCGCATTGACCCCCATTTTTTGTTTTGATTTTTAATAAAGCTATGTGTATAAGTTCTAAAAATATACTTGATAAAAAAATTCTCATTACTTTTGATGGCAGGATCCAACCTCCTTAAGACGATATCTATCAGTTATATGTAATAGTATAGATTTATTTTAAAATCAGCTAAGGTTGGAAACAAATTCGTCAAATTTTGCAATCTATAAAAATAACTAAACTTGTCATTTTGTATATTAAATGGTATAAAAGATGCATGGTAAATATATTGTGTTTCTTTTATTTACAGAAAGTAAACTTAATCGAACACGTTCGTTGATTTTCATCTGGAGGATATAATGTGTTACGTCATCGTCACATGTCGTTCTTTAGGCTGGACGCTTTTAAGTGTCACTGTTACCTTGGCAACTGTCGCCGCTGTTATCTCGCCACACTGGATGATCGGAACCCCTCGAGAAACTGCCATAAAATTGATGAATGCTTCAGAAGATTTTATGGACTCTGAAACTTTCAGACCAACGCTAGGAATATTTAATAGATGTACAAAACTTCAGTTAGACTTTCAAATAGCCAAAGTCAGGGATAATTGTGCCACATTCGTTGTGTCGTTTTCTGCAGCGGACGATTTTTTCCCGCATGCGTGGAAAGCATGTGTGATATTGTTCGGTATTGCCGGAACCCTTCTGCTCTTTTCCATGTTGTGTTCTGTAATGAGTTTGTTTGTCCGATCAATTTGTGGAAAAAGTATATTTACAGTTGCAGGATTTATACAAAGTATTGGAGGTAAATATTTATAGTTACACAAGTCTTGTTCAACCTGAATAAAATCTAAAATCCCTTAGAAACATATTAAATTGGCCTTTTTGTATGATCGATATAATAATTTGGTAGACCAATAATTTCAACAATCCGCTGACCTTTTTAAGACTGTAATACCTTCAGGGGTTCTTTTAAGACTGATGACATTGGTTACCAGCGCTCTGAAGACTGCAATGAGGGGCAGAGAATCAGTGCTCCACATTTTCTGATTTTTTAATGTAAATAGTTGAGTAAGCCTTTGAAATCATAATTCAAATATTTTAAGTTTTTAATCCCATATTTATATTTTTTCAGGTCTATTTTCAGTGATCGCTCTGGTCATATACCCCACTGGTTGGGGCACCAAAAGGGTGCGGGACCTTTGTGGTGAATATGCTGAGCCTTACGTTATAGATAACTGTACAATAGGTGGGTACATGACAGAAAGTACTAGTGTACCTGCACCATAAACAAGTAAACGATGAAAACACTTAACGCAGCTGGGTAACAGTGTGCTCTATTTGAAGGACATAGCACACATGGAAAAATACATTATTTATCTTTAGAGAAGGAAACTTTCAAAATGTATTTAATTTACATGATTTAGCGAAATTTTTATCCTTTTAGTATTAACTCCTTGATGTTTTAGATGGTGCTGGTATCGTCCTTCTGATCTGCTGTCTACATGTACACGAATTCTTTGAATCATTTTGCAAATATTATAACAGAAATATAATCATACGACATTAAGTTATACATCCTGAAATTAGATGTACATATGTACTAGCAAACATTCGAAATATGAAAATGATATATTATTGTTTAGAATTTGTATGTTTTATTGCAAAATACCGTTGAGGGTCCAGGCTTTTCATTATCATACATAATTTCAATTAGAAAATAACAACTTTCACAGTTAAAGAATAAAAACTGGCAAAATAGAATTATTTTTCATTTTATTTGACATATATTTCTTGTAATAAAATAAGTACCCTTGCATGAATAAGATTGAGTCAAAATAAAGACTAAAAATATCAGAACAATTAAGGTTTCTTCGACCCTTTGGTAAGAGAGGCAACTCGAACAGGGACTTATGACTATTACATCTAATTGTCTAGTTAAAAGATATATTTTGTAAAACTTTAACAGGAAGGTATGCTAAAATGTTTTGCATTTCAATGATTTTTCCTTTCAAATATCATCACTGATGCAATTTTTTTTTTAATTTGTCAACAGAGGGATGGTGAACCTCTGTTAAATCTTATGTACCAAGTTTGGTGTATTTTTACATAATTTATTATTATCCAGTATTTATTTGTTAAGGTTGGTCTTACTACCTCGGAATTGCGGCCACAGTACTCGTGTTTGTAGCAGCGGTTTTGTCTGTTCCCGCCGACAGATCCACAACAAGCAGGAAAGTAGAGGAGGAAATGCTGGAAGGAAAAAATCTCATTTGTGTATTGTGACATGACTTCCTGAACCCAATATTTGAAACACCTCGGCTTGTTTCTGAAGAAACATTTCCTTGTATTAACTTGTGCGTCCGATTGTTTTGTGCTGATGAAAAATGCTGGTAAATGAGATTAATTATGGCATTTTTTAAAAATACCAATTTCAGGGTTTCAAATATTCTTTGGTAAAATATGTTAAGATTTTTTGGAGTTTCACTATGAAGCTATTACAATGGAAATATTTTGCCAAATGAAATAACACAAAGGTGTAAATTTTAATAGAACATGTTCATCTATTGTTGATCTATAATTTGTCAGTCGTGAAGTATACTAACTCTAGTCTCCAAGGATTATATGATATAAAGTTACAAATGAGAAACCAAAGATATGTATGTATATCCGGAATATACGTGTACTCAAAACCGACTACTGAACATCGAGATGATCTGCATGTTCTCTAGTGTTGCCAGCAGGAAAAATACGATTCTTTAACTACTTTAAAAAAAATCCTCAGCGAAGTTTTTTTTTTCTAGTTGCACGTGTGCTTGTGTATTTTTATACCTTTGTAACTTACCCAAAAACGATCAATAAATGCAAGTTGAATTTTGAATCCTGTTTGTACTGAAACTTGCAAAAAATTATGTTAGTACCAAAAATTTTATATAAATACCAAGGGAAAAAAAGGTAATACATATAAGTTGATTGAATTCAGTGAATGAAAGAGTTATGTCTGTACGAGTGTGTTGATATTACGTTTATTAAGAATACTCAGTCCACAATGACAAAGAACGTAGATTAAATAAAACTTATCTATATGGCGATGTCATTGTGTATATATAGGAGGTTTGACTTGACATGGACTGTATTTATTCTCTCTAGAGAAGTGGACAAGCTTTCGCCTACATCCAAAGCCTGCCCACTTCTCTATAGAGAATATAGAACTGTTTTTGTATAATTAAGTTATTATGAATTTTGTACTGATCATATATATGTTTTTTCTCCCTGTGTACATATTTTAATGATATGAGTGTTTTTGGTTTGATTGTTCATTTATTTCAATATGTAATTACAAATCATTAAATAATTGTTAATTTATTCCCTCTTTTTATTTATTTATTTATTTATTTATTTTTTTTTACATTTATATGATTTTTTTTCATTTTCACTTCTACCTTCATTTACACAATTTTTTCATTGTTCATTGATCAACTGTTATTCAGAATAAATTATGAGCATGTTTACAATTGATTTGAAAATAAACGTAATTCAAAAAAAGTTTTTTTTTATTCTTTCAGACTGACCCCATATGCAAAGTATGAATACACAACCCTAAAATTACTAAACAAGATAATTATACAGATGTATTAAAAAGTTGGGTCTTGTGTCTCCCATCTTTAATTCAAAAGTGTTGGGGGGATTTCACTGTGATGTTATTCATGTACTAGGACGTACATAACAAATTAGTGACTTGAAGCATTTCCCAGGCTCGCAACATGATAATAAGGCCGTGATGTACAGTGTATCTTATTTAATACAGCAGGCGTGTGTTGTTGAAAGTTCAAGCAATACTCTTTGAACTGCCACTTGGTTGCAATCAAATGTTCACTGTTTGGAACTCTGATCTATCTTTGGACATTTTGATGCTCAAATATATTGGTTTCTACTGGTTACTTACCACTTCTCCCTGAATGTTGAGTTTCAGAAGACTCGGGTCCGTTTTTGCGTTACATATATATTGTTTTAACACTTTTACGAACACCTGATAAACTTGACCTTTGAACCTTCAAGGGCATGTTTCTATAGCTGTAACAAGTCTAAGACTGAAATTCACTGCAACTTTTAAGGAAATGTTCATGTCCCTCTAGTCACCTATACCTTATATATGTTATGAATACGATTGCATGTTTGCGAAGAAATATATATGTTCTAATGCAGTGCTAAGGGCATCGGCAAAGATTTTGTATAAAGAAAAAAAGAAAAGAAAAGAAAAATAAATATTTTCTAAGAATGAGAATACGAAAACTAAGATAAAGTTTACTAATGGTCTCAGCAAAGTTTTTACATCTAAATGTGGTGTTAAGCAAGGTCATATCTTAAGCCAATTTCTCTTTAACATTTTTATCAATGGTATTGTTGATGAACTTAAACGTTAATTAAAACAGACAGTTGGGATCCAGATTTAATGAATACATTGTAAAACTGTTAATACTCCTTGCAGAACAGATTGAGGTAAATGACCCCTGTGGACAAGAATAAAAATTTTCATGTATTAAGTTTTGGAACAATCTTATTAATTATTTCTAAGAACTCAAAAGCATTTAAAATCTATAAAACAACAGGCCACACAAAGTCGTGGACTAAGCATACGAGTATTTTTTCCCATTTTCAACAATTTAGGAATTTCATTCATTACTGAAAAGCAAAATTAAAAAAAAAAATCACTTCAGAGAAGTATAAAGCAAAGAATATCAGATCAATGCTTACAAGAATAATATGCAAAAAATTCTTGATTCACCAAGAACTAAAAATTTATCAATTTATTATTGATAATTCTAAATGCTGTGGATACATTACAAAAAAAAAAAAAAAAAAAAAAAAAAAAGAAGATGAATCATATATCATCAGGATGAGATTAAGTGTATATAACCTTGCCATAGAGAGAAAGGGAGATACTAATCTATACCAACAGATGAAAGATTTTGCAATATTTGTAATACAGATGCAGAGAGAGATTGAAGATGGATTTAAATTGTAATTTAATTAAGGTTTTAATTTTGGCCATATACGATATAATGTATATACTAGTTATATTTTGGTAGTTAAATTAGGAGGGAGAGGGGGTAATGATATTACGATATCTATATTATTCACGTTTCAGGTGCCTGTCACAGTGAAGGGGAGGGGGGGGGGGTGAAAGAGAGTCCTAAATACAAATTTAGTATTTTCAAACAAAATGATATACTTTCAATATGTAGGCCTACAACTAAAATATTTTTCACTGAAAAGAAAACTGGCGAAACTTGTTATGTCAGAGTTCTGTCTAGACAGCTTTTCCAGGGACATATACATGTATATGTATACTATAGGCCCTAGTTAATAGGTTTCTCAGAATTGCACTTCAATTTCATATTGTTACACTTTGATTTAAAAGAGTTAGTACGCTATAGAAATAAAATATTCATCTATTACTTTGATTTAAAACGAAATAGTATTCGTACGAACTAACATCACAAAGGCAATCCCTCCATCGTATGAGTTGACTTTTCATCATGGCCAGTGTCGGGCGAGGGAGGGGGAGAGGGAGGGGCCTATTGGTCACGAAAGTTGGATCTGCACCTAAGCCTGGACCTGAGGGCGATCTGGGATCGACAAAAGTAAGTGACCATTTAGTCCTTCGGTAAACGGTATGTGACTATATCCGAATTTCCTCAGTTACGATTTATGTATGGAACTGGATTGCCGCGAAAGTTTTAAAGTAGGGGATTTTACTAAAGTGTCGCCTACCCAACTATAAGGTGACGACCAAACACACAGGTATACATGATGAATAAACACGGGTATATACATTATTGAATAGATAGACTGGTAGGACTGAACTGATGTGGGAAGCGTGCCGACAGGCTTGGGTGGCTACGAGGTTAGAGTGTAAGGTAATGGTGAATATATTTACATATGCAATTTTACTACATTCCTCCCCGTTTTATTTAATAAAGCAAATGGCAATTGCTGTAACTTACTTGGAGGAACGCAGGGCGATAAATCTGAATATATCATTTAATATGACCTGGAAAAGATGTGTACCAATTTATGAGCTTGGTCGGAATAATTATGTCATGGCTCTTACAGTAAACCTTCATATCCCCTGTAATGGCTCTAACAATAAACTTTCTTATTTCCTATGTAGCTTGTAACATGAGCTTTGATTGGTTACAAAGTCAGGTGTAAATTTTCGTACACCCGACTTGAGCTGGGGGTAAAAAACATGACATCACAATGCATAGTTTCTCTATAATAAAAAGCAGATGCATTGTAGGACGTAGTAAATCTTTATCGATAGCTTGAATCACAGTTGATTGGACCTGTTTACAAGTAATTTATTTGGGTACATAGGAAATAAATTCATTATCCAGGACCAATCAAGAGTGTACGGGGATTTACCCCGGATTGTATTCCAAACACCCTGAGGCTGAAGGCCGAAGGGTGTGTGGAATAAAACCCGGGGTAAATCCCCGTACACCTTTGATTGGACCTGGATAACTAATATTATTTCCTATGTAGCTTGTAACACTTGCTTTGATTGGTTACAAAGTCGGGTGTAAATTTCTATACACCTGACTTGAGACGGGTTAAAAAACGGGACGTCACAATGCATAGTTTCTCTATGGTAAAAAGCAAATAACGTGACGTTACGTCACGATGCATTGTAGGACGTAGTAAATCTTATCGATAGCTTGAAACACAGTTGATTGGACTTGTTTACAAAGAATTTATTTGGGTACATAGGAAATAAATTCGTTATCCAAATCCAATCAAGGGTGTATGGGGATTTACCCTGGGTTGTATTCCATACACCCTTCGGCCTCAGGGTGTATGGAATAAAACCCTTCGGCCTCAGGGTGTATGGAATAAAACCCGGGGTTAATCCCCGTACACCCTTGATTGGACCTGGATAACTAATAATATCCCCCTATAATGGCTCTTACAGTAAATGTTTATATCCCCCTGCAGTCTTGCTAGGTACTTTGGTCTTCCATTTTGACTTTGCAGGAATTCATTTTCTAGGTAAGGAACTTAAGTGAGGAACAAAATTGTAATGCTCAAAAATATGAATGCTGATTAAATAAATGCATATAAATACATATAGAGTGTATTAAGTTTTTATCTATAGATATTTAATTCAGAATTTTAATTTTGAGTGATAAATCTCAAGTGTCTGATAATAGAAATGTTTTGAAGTGGTTTGATTGCACATACATGTGATATGTACCGGCTGTACACAAAATGTCCCGTATTTTTTACCCCATTCACGGGCTCACGGCGGTACATCAAAATTCAAGGGAAATGAAAATTTGTTCTGTATTACTGGAAACTGCCATTTTTCTTTAATTCTCGCTCTCATAACACAGGAAATCTCGTTTGATGCATGAGTTACAGCGCTTGGTTAATGTAAACAAAACATCATCATCAAAGGTGTGAAACATTCCCACGATAATTACATTGTCAAAGCTTTTTTTAGGCAGAATATTCTTCCATAAGACTCTTATTTAGGGGTTTTTTTAAATGTAATTAGTCAAAATTTTGACGGTAGAAATTAAAGACGTTTCAAAGAGAAAACGACAAATAATCAGAGCAACGGTGTGACAGCAACATGAAATTTCATCCACTTGGTTCACTTGTTCATTGATTTTAAAATTTATTAATAAAAAATGAACCTCTTACATTGATTTTTGGTCGATATTTTGTACAGTTTTTGTACAGTTTTTTGATGAACAATGTACAGTATTTTCACCCAAATTCCAGTATTTTGAAGACTCCTGTACAGTATTTGGGTCTAAATATTATCACATGCATGTTTAGAAAATGCCTTGTTTTATATTTTACAGAATGGAGAATCCCCACCAGCAGGGGGCACTGTACAGGAACTTGAGGATTATCTTGAGGGGCTGACCCTCAATCTGACTGAGGACAACCTAGAGGACATCTTGACCTTATCAAAATCAATGTCAACAGAAGACCATGTAATGAATGTGGCTAAGCGGATTTATGACAAGAGTTTGAAAGACCTAGAATTTGCCAAATGTGGAGCGTGTATTTGTGATAGACTGTCTAATGTTGAGGTTCAAACAGCAAAGTTCAGAAATGTTATTCTGCGATATGTGCAAGAGGATTTTAAAGGTACATTGTATTTTATCAGGATATGTGAATTAAAATAGCATATAAGAATTTATCTTGAGTCTATTAAGACAAAAAGGGATGGGAATCCATAGAGTGATACATAAAAAATCATTACAAAGGTACTAATCTTAGTATTTCATTGAAATCATATATTTCTCCATTATATTCCTAATTTTGCATCATAAACATCTTAAAAATAAAAAAAGCCAATCAGAGCCGCTAATGGTGGAAAGTTTAATGTATACTGTCAACATACGGGCAGCCCAAATACTTCAAATGAAGTAATTCACAATAAAATATTAAATAATTTTTGCAACAAGTCAATAGATATGGGGGGTCAGATCCAAGGTTGGAAGGAATAATTAATTCCTTGGTATATTTTATTGTATGAATCATGTCTCCACTTTCCATGGTAGAGAATCCCTCATTTGGGCATTTAGTGAGAATGCTAGCCAGAATAAAACCTTAAAAGAATCTGCACTGAAACTGCAGGAACACATTCAAACTTCAGTGGATAACATCAATATTTACCATTTAAATATTGCTTTGATATTTGAAGGGATAGGAACTTGAAAGTAATCGATTATTAATCAATTTCATCTTCCAAAGGAATCGATTACAGGACAAAAATGAGTGTAATCGATTAATAATTGATTACACAAAATTCCTCTAAGTAATCGATTATTAATCGATTACATTTTTCAGTAATCGTGCTCATCCCTGGCCGCTATTGACATAAAGGCAATATATGCACATTTGTTTAACAAGATAATTGGATCTGACATAAAATGGTTAAATTCCTTTCACAATTGGCGCATGAACACTTTATAACACTGCGATCAGAATGTTTTAGCTTCGCACGAGCTCTTTCATATGTTGCACAATGTCTCGCATTTGTTGCATGCATTATGGTGATTGCATCAAGTCTCCTCAAAATAGTGGACATATGAACACTATTCAGACGTGACCAAATGCGATCCAAATTATTGTAATACAACGCATGAACATTAGCACGAATGTCTTACAATGTTTTGTGTACTCTCAAGAGTGATGCATGATTTTTAAAGGTCATAAGATGAATTGCAGCTGTCTATGTATTTGCTTTGTGACCATGAGACTGTTGCTCAATGTGTCTCATGTAATCCTGCAATGTTTTACTACTATCATTGCACGATTTATCAGCTTCAATTTGCCATGCTTTGCCACTAGTACATATATATGTTCCCTGTATAAGCATCTCTGTTTCAGACCACAATTGAGAGTGTCAGAATTGGGCAGTAAATATACCCCCTCTGACTCACATGAGCATTGGTATCATGGAATGCATGATTGCACAAGCACTGCATGTCCAATCGCATTGACGCACATTCAATTGTCCGATCACCTGATTACTTGCGCGATCCTATCGCATTATCTTACAACACTCGCTTTCATTGTACAACAGTCGCATATAGATGAGAGATATATTGCAAGATTTAATGTGTTTGCATCATACAATGGTTGCTTTTGATCGTGCGAATTTTGTACGAATACGTTTTCATATGAGATTATTTTGGAAACAGTTAACAATCAAAATTAAAATTTTTTTTCGGTCAAATAAATATTTTGTCGCCTCTGCTTGTGAACCAATTGTGAAGGGGCCTTTATTTATAACACACAATTAAACCTGGATTTGTGACACAGACTGTTCTAAAGTTGACTTGCTGCTGATAATATATTTTACAGGTAAAGAAGAAATGCGAAGTTCAGACAACAAGCGTTACCTCGGATTTGTCACATTTCTTTGTCAGGTCTTTGGAAATGTTCGACTTACGACAGGGGACACCATGAAGCCATTAGTGGCACCTGTGTTCGAGTGTTTAGAACAAATCTTACAGGACCAAACCTCAACTGAGGATGAGTATGAATGTTTATCATTACAGGTCAGTATCTCAGGTCAATACAAATCAGTATCTCTGGTCTGTACAGGTTAATATCTCATAGCATTGCAGTACATTAAGTACATCTATCCCATGTCATAACAGGTTCATATATTCATGTCTATAAAAATCCTCATGTTATCACGTATCAGTATCTGTACTCCATAAAGTTAAGTTCCCTTTCTGTTGCAATTGTTTTCTTATTCAGTATTTTCTTCGATAAATTTTATGAATTAAGATTTGGTTTCGTAAGTAAAGGAGAACCACCTCTTTATTAAGGTCGATTGATCATGATGTACTAGTCGATAAAAATCACTGAAACAGTTTATATGTTGATTGTATAGCTGCAGTGCATTGGAAAAGACCTTGAACTTCAGGATCAGCCACGCATGTCTGCATTGCTCGATCAAGTGCGAACACGCATCATAAAAGATGGGTATGTCACAGGGCAGATAACAACCCAGATACAATATCATATTAACTGCTATTAAAACAAATTAATTTTGAGATTGATAGTTGTTCGTCTGATAGTGTATCAATGGATTTCAAGAAGAGAATGGAAACTCATATATTTTCAGCAAGAAACGGTGTGGTTTTGTGAATTTTATCAATATTTTTAGTCAATAAAAAGTATATAAAAACACTCAACACATGTAACAGCATATTTTATTATTTCTGATTTACAAAACATTGTTTATTAAAATTGAAACTATGCAAACTTTTGTGAATAATATTTATAATTTTCTATTTTAAAATAAATTTAATGAAGTAATGTGCTGAAAAGGACTTGGCAGTCAAATTCAAATGAATTATTTTCGCGAGATTGCAGGAAAAAAACCCTCAAAACAAATACAAGAAAAGGAATATGTATCAATGTTTTTGCAAGCCTACAAATGATTAAACAAATTTCAAGTAACTAAATAGCACATATTTTCAATGAAAAATGATTGCATCTTTCCATGCGGATGACATTGAATTTATTTGATGAAATCCTGACTGTTACAGGCTGACAGCTAGAGGGCGCTGTACTCTTCTTGAACTGCTGGAGTGTGGATCACGGGGTTGGAAACCGTTATCCAACGACCTGACTCGATTCTACTGTGACACCATGGTAGAGATATTTGCCACAAGCATCGAGTGACCGCCATTTTACAACCGTACAATTACACCTTGTTACAACAGGAAGAGCTTCTGTTAAGTCACGTGGCTGGTATGAATTCAGTGGAGCGTGACTGTGTCCTGTCTGCTGAACTTATATCTTTTTAAACATGACATATCAACGTGTTTTGTTTAAATGAAATGGGAAGACACCAATTGGTATGATTTCCGAGTTTGACCTTATTTTTGTTTATGTGTTCACATGTTTTGCACAGATGTCAAATTTTGAACAGATGGGTCAAATTTTCATGAAATGTTAGTCTTTTACTGCCAGGAAAACTTGTTTATTTTGAGTCTGTTATAATCAAAACATTCTAGTTGTAATGCAGGAAATATTTTTGTAATGATGTCAAACTTCCCTTTGGTAAACAGTATTTTTCTAGGAATTTTTATTGTCATAGAACAAGATTTGATCATTCAGAACACTGATCTCTTTTTGGGTTGAAACTCTTTCATAGGTTATATATAGGATCTTTATATTTGTGATTTGATCCTTCTGTTTTAAGTTGGTTTTTTGCTTCTTAATTAAATTTTGGAAATTCTAATTTCTGAGTTTGCAATTTTTGCAGTTTCCTTTGAAATGCAAATAACTAAAGATATGGAATTTAAATTTTTCGATTTTATTTGTGGCAAGTTTAACAGAACCTCAAAAATTACTCAAAAATAGAAATCAAAAGAAAATACCTGTTATGCAGTATATATATGTTCTTTACTGTTAACAGTTTGAAAATTTTTCCTGACAAGGATATAATTTATTGTGTAGAAAGGCATCTAAATTCAATAATTATTTCAAAAATTAAATCATAATTGATTTTTTGTTGCCTTATTTTGATTTCTGCAATACTGAATGTTTAGTGTTCAGTGCTACATGCATCTATCTTGATACTAAGGGAATTGTGGTGTTTCTACTTGGAATATTTTTAGTAATAATCCATTCTATATTAAATATTTTTTAAAGGGCATTATGATAATTTGATATGCAATAACTTTGATAAAAGCATATAGTTTGTCAAATGTTTGAGTTAAACTTTTACATTTTCATCTTAGTTTTGTGTCAAATGATATGAGTTCATGAGGATTAACCTCTTTTTGTCACTGTTTTGTCATTCATATTGAATTATGTTTATACTTCTATAATAAGTCCATGATTAGCGGACCTGGGTGTCGCCAAGTGAAATTATGATTGATAAGTACATCTACAAAAGTTCAGGGTAATAGAATATGTAATTTTTTTGTTGATAATCATTTCTTTTCTCATATTTGTTTTATTTTATTAATTTAAAAAAAAAATGGATTTTTCATTCTAAAATGGAAATTTAAAAGAGGATCCCAATATGAAGGCTCACGTTTTTTCTGTAACCTTTTATAACAGAAAAGTTAGTAGCGTTGTCTAAATGGTAACTCAAATGTTACTCTGTCTGGTCAGTTTAGCATGAGTGGACAATTTTAACTATTATACTAGTATTCCTAGTCTACTAATGGTACCATTGAAATATGGTAAGATATTGCCGACTCGATTTTAAGCAATATAATGGTTGGTGCAGTTACAATTTCATCTGTGAGAATTTTTTTTTTTCACAGTAAAACTTAATGTAAACTGATCATTTATTCCATGGAATATCACCTTATTTAGCAACAAAACGGTCAGAGATTGTTTAGAAAAATGGAAAATATTATTTTGGGGATAATATGTTTTGGCACACCATGCAGATTGAACAAATTCATTTACTGCAATATTTTTTGATGAAAGATAATGCTAGATTTTTTATTATTAACTTCCACATTTAATAAGGTACCAAATTCTCCAAAGATCAAAGATTTCGATTTTAATTAATCAGTAAACAGGTTTTTTAAATCAGAGTTATGTGAACTTTCAGGGTTTTTTTTTTTAAATACAACAGTCTCAGTCATAAGTATTAAGTTATAAGCAAACGAATATGACTTTTTTATTCATTTATCCAACAGTTTATAATTTGTACTTCTATAGAATCTGTGCTTTGAATTGATCAGTCCTCACCAACTGACAGTAGAGAAGTGTACTTTTACATTCACCAAAATAATTTGTTGCTTGCCACACAGTGTGTAATTGTGCTTCTTTACTCAACAAATGGAGGGGAAAAAGGCATAATGTGAAGCTCTAGTTTGTCAATTTGAACTTGGTTGATGTTTTATATTTTGTACTTTTCACAACTAGAACAAAAAGTCATAAATTTAATTCTTATTTTTTCAATAATAAATTCTTATAAACATACTTCTGAGTTTAGCTTGTTCCTTTCTGTCTTCTAGTTTGAAGAGTGATAAATATTATGTTTGAGGTAGGGCATTAATTAAATCTTGAATTTGACACGAGTATATTAATATTCAAGCCCGCCTTGAATATGTCTGATACTAGAACATTGCAAAGTTTATGTAGTTAATAGCCCAGCTGAGCCGAAGGCTCAAGTGAGCTTTTCTGGTCGAAATTTGCCCGCTGTCTGTCGTCGTCGTTGTCGTAAACTTTTCACATTTCATCTTCTTCTCCGGAACTAGCTGCAGATCTATAGCTCTCTGGTCTGAAAAAAAATTGGATTGACGACCAGAGAGCTACAGTGCCACCCATTTAAAAAACTGTATATTTATTGTGCACAAAAAATGCGCTGTTCTCTAGATTTATTTCTTCGTATATTTACGCTCCCATCTCAAAATTTTACTACTAGTAATCGTGTGTTCCTAGCATATTATTTTACTACTTCCACAATAGAACATTTCCCCAAACCGTTGTTTATAGCCCTACTGGGCCTGAAATTGGGACCATCGAAAATTTCGCCTATTTATACTGCCATATTAGGTGGCAAGATAATTCGGTCCAATGCGCTACATGCACGATTTGTACATGCAGTTTTGTTGTGTAAGTAGTAAAAGAATACGCTAGAAACAAAGGGTTAGTAATATTTTGAAATATAAAGTGAAAAAAAATATCGAGAAAAGCGCACTTTTTTGTGCGCAATAAATATACATTTTCTTCTATGGGTGGCACTGCAGCTTTCTGGTCGTCCATCCCAATTTTTTTCATTCCAGAGAGCTACAGATCTGCACTACTCCAGAACCACTGAGCCAATTTCAACCAATCTTGGCACAAAGTATCCTTTTGTGGAGGGGACTCAAGTTTGTTCAAATGAAGGGCCATCCCTAACAAAAAAAAAATACTATGGTAAACTATAGTTAACTATAGTTTACTATAGTTAATCAAAGTTTCAAAGTTTTTACTAGAGTAAATCAAAGTTCCAAAGTTTTTACTATAGTAAACAATCGTAAATTGAAGTTTCGAAGTTTTTACTTTGATACTATAGTTATTCAACGTTTTACCATAGTAAATCAACGTTTCAAAGTTTTCGCTATAGTGTATCAAAGTTTCCAAGTTTATCAACTTATTAAAGTATCTTAGTAATTTATTGCTTGTTGTACCGTTTTGGGGGATAGGGGTGGGGTAAGGGTTGTATATCTTTTCATTTAAATTTACAAATTAGTTAATTAAATGCAATATTTTCATGAATAAATAAAGAAAATTAATGTTTACGTAAGTTGATGGAGCAGATATTTCGGTTCTAAATGACACAAATTTCATTTTATAGTGTTTTTTCCCTTTCTCAATACATGTAAAAATAATCTTACACCACATTAGCATTAAAATTAAATTCATTCAAATAAATGTTGCTTATTTATCGACGCGAGTGACAACCTCACATTAAAATTCATTTCTTGTACTTTAATTATGTTTAGGGGAAGGATCGGGTTTGTAATAAGTTCTCTGAAGCTTTTATGAATTATGACCATGAAATATCATAAAATGTCAAGAATGGGATTCAAAATCATAATTCGACGATTGTATTGTTATTCAAAGTTAACACTACGGTAGATCAAATTTTCAAATTTTTTACTTAAGGTAACCAAAGTTTCAAAATGTTCACTATAGTAAATCAAAGTATCAAAGATTCTACTGTAGTAAATCAAAGTTCCAAAGTTTTCACAATAATAAATCAAAGTTCCAAAGTTTTCACTATAATAAATCAAAGTTCCAAAGTTTTTACTTTAGTAAATCAAAGTTCCAAAGTTTTTACTATAGTAAATCAAAGTTCCAAAGTTTTTACTATAGTAAATCAAAGTTCCAAAGTTTTCACTATAATAAATCAAAGTTCCAAAGTTTTTACTTTAGTAAATCAAAGTTCCAAAGTTTTTACTATAGTTAATTAAAGTTCCAAAGTTTTTTCTATAGTAAATCAAAGTTCCAAAGTTTTTTCTATAGAAAATCAAAGTTCCAAAGTTTTTTCTATAGAAAATCAACGTTTTTACTTTGATACTATAGTTAACTATAGCAAACTATAGTTTACTATAGTATTGTTTTGCTAGGGCACTCCCTCTTCCTAGGGGAAATACAATGTAATTAGGAAATAGTGAAAATTTGGTTGTAACTTTCAAAAAAATCTTCTCAGGAACCACTGGGCCAAAAGAGTTGAAACTAATTTGACAGCTTCTTTACAAAGTGTAGATTCAAGTTTGTTCAAATCATGACCCCCGGGGGTAAGGAGAGGTCAAATTGGAGGGGGGGGGGAGTGTGTGTAAAGTTTTACATAAGAACACATAGGAAAAATCTTTGAAAATCTTCTTCTCAAGAACAGCAAAATTATGTTTAGTCATATTTATTTGGAAGCATCCTCAGATAGAGTGGATTCAAATTTATTCAAATCATGACCCCTGGGGGTAGGGTGGGGCCACAATGGGGGATCAAAATGTTTACACAGGAATATATAGGGAAAATTTTTTTGCGGCTGTTGATATATTGATAGAACTAGCGACTGTTGAGTTTGCGACTGTGGAAATGTTGATGGAACTGGTGAAAATGTTGATGAAGCTTGCGATTATGTTGATAGAGCTGTCTACTGTGGATAAGTTGGTTCTTCTTTTCAAGGACAGCAAAACCTTGTGAAGTCATATTAATGTGGAAGCATCCTCAGGTATTGTAGATTAAGATTGTTCAAATGATCTTCGCAAGGACAGCCAAGTCTTGTGTAGCCATATTGATATGGTAGCATGTTAAGGTATTTTAAAAATTAGGTTTGTTCAAATCATGACCCCCGAGGGTAGGGTGGGGTCACAGTGGGAGATAAAAGTTTTACAAAGGAATATTAAGGTAAAATTCTTGAATAATTTTCTTCTCAAGAAAAGCAAAGCCTTGATTAGTCATATTAATATGGAAGTATCCTCATGTAGTGCAGATTCAGATTTTGTTTAAATCATGGCACCTGGGGATTGGGTGGGACCATAACAGGGGTTCAATGTTATCAAAGTTTTAAATAGGAATATAAAGGGATATGCCTATAAATTTTTTTTTCTCAAAAACATCAAAGCCAGTCATTAATTCAGAAGCATCCTCAATTAGAATAGTTTCCAATGTGTTCCTGTCATGTCCCTGGAGGTAGGGCAAGGCCTCAATTGAAGATAAAATGTTGGAACCACATGTATATTTAAACTTTTCAATACTGAACTAATTTCTGCTTTTTCCTAGCCAAAGTACTTTAGTGAGCGATGTGGCCCATGAGCCTCTTGTTATAATTGGTATGAACATTCTGAAAAGAATTTAGAAAATGTATAATAATTGATTTGACTTTGTCAGATTCCATTGTTTTTGAGAAGATAACCCGGTAGCTCTGAAATTTGTAAAAGTTTAGGATTTATTGTTTTTAAATAATAATGCTTTGTTTGTTACTATAGAAATAGACTTTGTAATTGTGTCCGAAATAATGTGGGTTATGTAATTTTTTTCTGCAATAGCTGCAACCCTTAATTCCCGTACTGATAAACAAAGAAATACATTTAATTGTTTATATATATATATCTGTATAAATAATCACATAAAGGTAGGTTTATGCTCAATATTTTATTATTGACAGGTACGTCGATATGTATTTATTTGATTGAAAAGAATACTGCATAACAAATTTATACACTCGGGTGAAAAATGTGTTCTAACTGGTTGTTTACGGATCAAAGAAAGAAGTGGTTTTACTTAATAGTAAAATAAACTGCATTGGATGTATGTTTAAATTATTTAAACGTCATTAGAACTAGTTAAGAGCATATCACATGCTGGGAACATATACGGTGGTTCATGTCTTTTTCTTCGGTGTTGTAAGTTTTCAATAAATGCTTGAAAGTACTATTTGTACTTGGAATATATAAAGTATGTTCAAGTGAAACCATTTAAAAGGATCCTTATCTAAATATAAAAACCCAACATGTATAGAAATTTTCCTTTCTCCTGGTCGATGTATACATTTATAAAGAAAAAAAAAATCTCTCTAAATAGACTGAATAATCTAATATTTAAGATGTTTTCATAAACATGGCTTCCAAATATTCTAGGGTTTGTGGTATCATTATTTTGTAATGGTATAATTATATAAAATTTGTTAATTGATTGTTCTAAGTGCCCTCAGGGCAGTTGAACGGTGATGGTTATATATTGTGCCAACTTCTACCGTGACATTAGACGACAGTTTTAAGGTATCGTCTCAGAGACAAATAATGCCGGTTGTTTGGCGATGAAAAAAGTCTAAATAGACTAATACATCTAATACTTAAAAGTGTTTTCATTTACATGACTGCAAAAATTTCTAGGGTTTGTCCGAAAGACTAATAACTTTCAAATAACGTGGGTTGCTTGGCGATGGAACAGTCATTATCTGTTAAAGGTGGCGCCCAACCCGGTCACGAAACTAGCACCCTACCAGTAGGCTATCGCAATCTGTAATGATAAAATGTAAATGTATCTTGATATTGTAGTATATCCAACATTTCTAACTTTTACCCTGTTATTATTACTCTCTCGAGAGATACTTGTTAGCCTAATTTTGTTTTCACAGTAGACAGAAATATTGCAAATGTTTGTCACTGTGAACTATATATACAAGACAAAATTGCTAATGCACTACTCAGTGTTTTCATATGTATATAAAACATTTGCGTAATCGGCACAAGTAAATATAATGTGCCAATTTTGCGGATTTGTGAATGTCTTGGAGTCAAAACAAATACTCTCAAATGACCGTTCTTGTTCGCAAACAAATTTATCGAGCCCTCATGCGAACCGTTTTTGTGCTCATATGAAGCTGTCAGTTTTCTGATGGCTGACAGTGAAAAAGTATTTGAAAAATTATGACCATTCCAGTGATGGCGACAAACTAGGTTTACTAAGGATGAGAGATTGAAACAAAAACAATATTGGCAAACTATGATTTGTCAACGTTTCAAATAAAATGAAATAAATTAAATGCACTACTGAGTGTTTCTGTGTGTCTTAGTAACTTTGCCCACCGCATAATCATTCTGTTTATAGAAATCAAACGTTTTCAATTATAAAAAAAATTGTTATATTATTGTTATAATAATAATGAAATTGATTCCAATTTTTGTATTAATACAGGAACTCTCCCTGGTTTCTTTTCCTTAAAACATTTTACCTAGATAACAATCGAAGTTCGAAATTACATTTGTTTCGAACCCACTGGTGAGCGAAATATTTTTAAATGGCAAAACAGAAATCAGTAAATAATTTAAAAAAAACTCATTTTGGGTTTCTCCTGAGAAACAAAATTAGCACTGATTTGAAAATCATAGAATACTTCTTGTGCTAAAGAAGTATCTGGAGCTTTGAATTTGAAGTTTGATCAATTTTTTGTAACAACAGCAGAGTGATATAGAGTAAAACTTGTCTAGTCCGGACCTCACTGTTTCCATAGAATTAAGAAATTGACTGGATTAAACAACATTCTGGTTTAGATAACATTTTTAACACAATTGAACTTACTGAAGAGAACGAAGTTTACTTTGTAATGCAAGATTATGGGATACACAACATCCTGATTAGACAAGTTTTATTGTATTATTGATGAATATATTAATAATTATAATGTCTCCCTCTTCACTGTACATGTTTGAATTTGCTACATGTATACCTGTTTCATATGGACAAGCAGTTCCAAGTCGATGTTCTTTTGATAAATATCTGTACATGTATCAATAAATAAAATTCTTTCAGCTCCAATCAATTTCTTATACATTCATTCAGCACATTTTGATGGAAAAAAATGAAGCATTCAAGTTTTCAGCATTCTAATATTCTAAATCTATTTTGAAAAATCAGCAACACTTACATGCTAGAATGCATTACCAGAGACGTAAGAGATATGCAGTCTTATTCATCAGACCATTTTCTTTGTATAATATCACAATTATGATCATGTTCTGTTGCATGAAAATCTTTTAGTGAAAGTAGCATGTAATTTTCATAGAAATGGTGTACCTGGTCATGTTTTGTTAGATTTAGAATCTAATGCAGCAAAATTATGCTGATTTATTAGATCATTCTTAAAACGCATTTTTAAAACGCACAAGACAAAGTTACTCTACTGTACCATTTCAAAACCAAAGCTTAAAACATGATAAAATTATAAAGAGATGGTTGTTTTGTTTTAATCATAAAATTTTCCGGCGACTTGTGTCTCTCAACTCACAGTTTTGATTTTTCTGTCGCATTTAGCAAGTATTTCCCTTTTAATTTGATGTCTGTAGCATCATAATGTGACATAGATCAAGGTTATCAAAGACCTACCCCTCTACTTTTGGCGTATTTCATCCACTTTTTATCACTAAATTATTACACCATAAAAACCAATTTTATGCTTTTAAAATGTCTTGTTTAAAATTATATTATTTAGTGATTTTTAATGTACGTTTTAGTACGGCCTACTAATATGCATGTAAAACAAGATCTTTGTAAAATGCTTAATTTATCAAAGGGGCTATAGTTCCTTAAGAGCTAAATACAGAAAATGATTATTGTAAATAAGATGGTTGCTAAACCACACAATACATGCTGAAAATTTGAAAGAAAACCCCCCCCAGATACAAATACATAATTTATTTCAATGACAGTAAAGGTGTATAACTTTAATACCGTCAGAAGGTTAAAATAGCTGTGCTAACTCTTCACCAAATACCTCAGCTGTAAGGATGTGACTCTGATTGTCTGTAGTGATTCATCGTGGACTGAATGGTTCATCCTTTGGTTAAGGGTATGTCCAGTATATCTGAATCTCAATTTACCAGATTGATTGACCACGACTTCTCCTTTAGCTCCACAGTCAGCTACACAGATATCAAGGTTCCTGTTCTCACATATGTATTTATGGGAACCACCAGATGAATAGAGGTGTTTACAATGACTATCAAAATGAATGGATTGCAATTGTTTCTCTGTAGAGTCAGAGTATCGAACTACTTTTGAATGCATTTTGACTTGTCTTCTTTCACTATCCATTGTAACCAGAAAGTCCCCATTAGAGGTTCTACAGACACCTGGAGGTCTCCAGTTCTGAACTCTGATCACCTCCTTCATGTGTGCATTCTTTGCAATGGTGTTAGTTCCATCCTCTTCACTTTTAGTAAATAAGATATCCGCTTCTTGACACTGCTATGTCTGTTGGCTTGTTTCCCGACTTTGTAGTGATTGTCTTGAGTGGCGAGTATTGATTGTTGTAGAGTACCATGGTACTGCTATCTCCACATATTTAAATCTTTTCATTTCTCAAAATGGCAACATTTTCAGCATAGCCCACATAAAAAGAATCTTTTTAAAAAAATTCTTGGTCTCTCAAGAAGCTTTTTTTTTTACTGGTGGTCGGCATCCAATTTCTGGCGATACATGTATCTGATCGACAAAAAAGATTCAACTTTTGATGATTTTTGTGTTGTCTTTATACTGTATCCATGACACTCTGATTTAACGAATATTGATGATAAAGTTCTAAAAGTTTGACCAAGTTCTTCCCTACGATTGTCCCTGGAATGAATTTAGGTACACACAAAACAAGTTTTTCTGGATGTTTTTTTACACTGATCTACCCAGGATTTTACACTGAATGGTGTTGAAATGTCATTAGAGTTTGCAGTAATGTCAAGAGAATCAATTTAATATTTAATGTCAACAATTTTCTTGCTAATTCCATCCAGATGTTTCTGTAAAGTTTGTAACTGTGAGGTCTTCATTTTATGAACTTGAGCCTTAAGTTTCCTGACAAGTTTGACAATTTCTCTGTGCAATTCCTCTCCATGTTTTGTAATGGCTGTTGAGAGATCTCCATATTCCTTCTCTAAATGCCTCATTCAATTTTGTACAGATGCTGCAATGCCATGGTAGGTGGAATAAATTGTTTCATCTAATTCATTTTTCTCTTTCCTTATCAAGTCTTTCTTTTCACCCAGACCGTGCAAGATTTTATATAAATTATGACCAGGATTTTGATCAGATGCCAGGCAAGTATGACAGTCAGGAATGTCAAAGTCTTTACAGTACATCTCATATTAATATACCTCACATAAATAATTACAAGTAAAATAGAACCTGTTTGGCCGAGGCAGTCACGTGACCGTCGTGTTTGCCTTTCGTTAAAGATCTGGGTATCGTTTCACAAAAGCATAGTAAATTAAGTATTACTTAGCGAGTTACGACGAACTTAAGTAGTACCTACGTACTATGTTAAGTCCGTTTCACGAAAGGTACTCAGAACTGTCGTAAATATGCGCAACTTACGAAGTACGTAAATATACAGGAAGTAAAAAAAAAATGGCAGACGAAACTATTTCTAAAATAAAGAAAGAGAGAAAGAAGAATTTTACTGCGAAGGAAGTAGAGGTCCTGGTAGAAGAGGTGGAGAAACAAAAGGACATTCTATTCGCACCACATAAGGACGTCAATACCAACCAGAGGAAGAACCAATGTTGGAATTTGTTTCTTCTGTGTATAACATTTCATCTAAACATTTTATGCTTTTTTTCATGTTTTTTATGATGTTTACTTATTCATAATATTAATATAAAATTATCCACAAATTTAAATATTTCATTATATAGGTCAATATTTACACGAAGTTGAAAAACATTATCCCTGATGCGCCCCCATATTAGGTATTTATGTTCGAGTTTCCTCGAAACGTCAAAAAAGGTTACAAGTCAGCATCTCTGACAATAACAATACTTACAAAACTGTAAATTATCATGCCACAGTTTGTAATCTATCTTTCAAGAATTCATCGGAATGAATAGATTTTGGGTATGTGAAATAGTTTATAGCATTTTTCAAATCTATGATTATCCTATCTAAACTGCGGTGTAATGAGAAAGTAATAAAACGTCAGAATGAAGAGCTTAAAGTGAAGTAATTGAATATCGTATAAATTAGCAATCATGTCCATTAAATGATAAATGGACTCACGAAAGAGAAGAAAAGGATTACTTACTCGAACCAATGATAAATAAAATCGTCTGCATGTTTACCTTTTGAGTGTCCCTGGTAAGTTACCTTGTCTCGAGCTTCAACTAGTACTTCAGGTTCCTCAAAAATTGGAATTCGTTTGTCAATATAGATGTTATGGAGTTGACAATACAAGTATATAATCTTGCAGCATTTTGCTGATGTGTACTCAAGAGCTCCGCCTGTTTTGTGGAGACACCTGTAAACAATTATTTGCATATCTCTCTTGTATTTTTTCTGGCGGCATCACCAGTCGGAAACTTTATGTTGTTCAGTGTCCGACACAAGACATTGATAACCTCGTCGATAGACCTAATCAAAATTTTATATGATATAAATTTATCCTAAGGGCATATTAAAAGTTTACCCTCTCTCGATCGATCGAAAAAATGGACCGACTTGAAATTTTTTAAACCTTCCCAGGAAACGCTTGTTTTTTATTCATTACAAAATATCTTCATCAACACTTTTATTTTAGCTTTATCTTCGCAAGTTTTTTCCTACCTTTATCCTTACCTTAACCTTTATCTATCTTTTTTTATCCTGAGTTGGAGAGGGCAAGTAACCATTTTTTAAGCTCTAATGAAATCTGGATTAACACATCAGGAAAATAAATTTTATCATCTTTGTATTTAACAACCTGCAAACAGATGGCTTGGATATCCCTAGAGTGTCTCCAATCATTCTCTGCTGGGAGCCAGAAGCAAGAATCTTAATGCAGCAAACACTTGCAACGAAGCTGGAAGACTTCCAGATCTTTTGGTTGGTCTCTCTAAACGTTCTTGGACTATGTCAATGCTACTAAGGATGGTCCTTCTGTCCAACCGGTAACAATGGATAATATCCATATCGTCGTATGCATCTAGGGGATTCTGCCTGTCCCGGAACACGCGCTGTCTGCGTAAATTTCGAAGCACCTGTTCGTAAGCAACCCTCAAGAACGCCGCCATCTTTGGATACTAACGTAACGACGTTATTTTACGTCACCTCCAAGGTGACGTAACGTTACGTGGTAACGTACGACGCAACGTGAATTAAGACGCCGAAATTTAGCTACGCTCTATTTACGTTGCACTTAAGTACTACGTACAATTTATGATGCTTTTGTGAAACGATACCCAGAACCTTAGGCTATTGACACGGTCTACTGAGTTTTGGAGCATGTTTTGTGTCACATTTGTCATTTATGTAAAAAAGCATTATTTTGGATATTTTTTTTTTTTAGGATTAATTACTTTGAGGTTTAATTTCAATGAAGTTTTACAGATATTATATCATTGAAAGGACATAAAATTCATTGGATTGTTTGTCAGGAGACTGTCGGTCCTCCAGTTGATTTTGATGGAATACCATACATAAACGTAGGATGAATGGTTAAGAAGTGTCATCTAGGGCCTGTTCGACAAAGAAAAGCAAAGGTAAAGAGGAAACAAAGAAAAGTTTGAAAAAGATTGATTCTTATTATGCCAAGAAATGAAATGTTTCGTGAGGCAAATTAAATTTTAGTGGATAGTGAAAAAAAGTTTTATAAGGTTGAATTTATATCTAGTTGTTACACAAACATGTTGTACAAATCTAACAATTGATTAATCAATAGGAGTTTTGGGAGAATATGAATACTCAAAGTTTTCAAAGTCTGACATGTTCAAAAATTTTTGATTTCATTTCAAGTCAATGCATAGTAATTTAGAATATTTTATGCCTAAAGATATTATCAGTGTTGATTAAAGCATATTGACAGTATTCCTATGGTAATGCATTAATCGATTGAGGGGCAAAATGAAAACCAACTATCCTTCTGTGTTCAATAATTCAGAAGGGAAATAAGAATTAGATAGATTACACGATCAGCATGTACTGGTCCCTGCTGACAAAGCAGTTAACAGCATTGTCCTTGTTTGTAAGGCTCATTATTTAAATTGTATTTTAGAGGAACTAGGATTAAATTCTACAGTTGATAATCTAACTTATACCCATAGCTCCCTTTCTAAAGAGGAAATTCTTACAAAGTAAACAAAACATGAAGACAGAGTCCAGTGAAGAAAGTCTCGGAAATCTGATAGACGAAATAAAGAACCTGGAAGAAGATGCCATACAGGCCTTTGAACACTTGCGTAGCGCTTCTGGTGCTCCAAACCAAAGTGTAGTTCGGAAGGTGGATACTTGTATCGCTATCTCTGAAGACATGATTCATCTGATCAATGAAAAAAAAAAAATCTGGATTTGAAGACACTAGAGACAATCTGAATAGTTTGAAGCATAGTAAGTATTCTAGATCTGTGTTTATTAACTTGACTCTGTCTGGTGTTTCGGAGAGCGACTCCGTAAGGTCTCAGCTAACTACCAAGTTTGAAGACGCTCTTGCAGATGTAGCAACCAAAAGAGTAGAACTGGAGACGATAAAGGAAGAAGGAGAACAGCAAACAAAATTTGAAGCACTTCAAGAGCAGCAACGAAAATTATTAGAAGCCCAGCAGCGGAAAGTGAGAACAATGCAAACAGAGAAGTCAGATGCAATGGCCGAAGCAAGACTCAAAGTCTACTCTGTTCTGATGCAAGGGGATGTGAACATCGCTGCAGCCACTACCAGCCATCAAGCAAGTCATTATCTTGTCACATCTGTTAGTAGTCATACAACTTTATCCCCTTTGTTATGTATATTATTAGCCACCCCACTGATGCACTTGTAGTTACGTCTGTTAGTCGTCTTACTGTTATGTACACTGAGAGATCGCCTTATACTCCATTGAACCCACCTATAAACCATGTTGCAGTCAATTCGAACAGCACTACAGACGATGATTTTGGAACACGTATCTTAGCAAAGGTGTTTGCGGACTCAATGAACATTGATAGGCTCCCCATACCTGTGCCGCTCTGCATATGAAAATGCCAGACAAGTCCTACAGGACCGATACGGACACCCTTTGTTATGCAGAAAGCATTTCGGAAGAGACTAGAGAATTGGCCCAAAATCGCAGAAGAGAATTCAAAGGCTCTCAGAGATCTTGGTGACTTTCTATTAGCCTGTCGAGATGCAACGCCTCAGGTTCCAAGCCTCAAAATTCTAGACGACTACTCTGAAA